CGCTCACGGCTCACTGTGAAGCTGTTTCTACATGCAGAGGATATACAGGAGGAAGGGAAACGTGCAATCAGTCGTCTTCTCAGACAAAAGCTTGGAAAAAGGTTCAATTCAGCCGACTGGGCGCCAACAGTTTTGGTGAGAAACTGTGGAGCTGTGAGTGAATCCAAACCCTGGTCAGGTGTGTTCAGAGGACGGCGATCAGACAGTGTGACGGCTCGCAGACTCTCCTCTGACCGCACGCCGGAAAAGTCGCCTCGAAATGCAGCTTTATTCAAATGTCAAGAGACAGGCGAGAGCTTCAGGACGCCGCGGGTCAGTTGGAGCAGCAGGAAGACGCTCAGACGTCCAGAAAATTTTTCCAAAAAAAGATTTCCGACGTGGTCGCAGTCGGTTTGTAAAATCAACCGGAAGCAGAGAACATCTGCTCAGACTGGGAGGAACCTCGTCGTAGATCCGCAAACTCCGCAAAGACGCCTCCATCCACCAGCAGAACCGCGTCGTGGTCTGAACCACCTTGGACTCCAGTTCCACCGTTTTGCTGACGACATCCTGCTTTACAACTCAAAACCATCATGGCCGCCACCCATTCGGCCAAGTTGTGGCTCCAATCAAATTTCCCTAAACTAATCAGATGTGAATTTACCCTCTGGAACTGTCACTATCCAAGAAATCCATAAAAACACGGCACAAGTCGGAATCCCACTTTCTCTGCTACGTTTATTCATTCTTGCCCACTTTGTAAAGCACCATTGAGTGTCTTCATAAGCACTATATAAGTATTATTATCATTATTATCACTAGTATTATTATTATGAGTTGTGATCACATTCATTGGACACTACCTGGGGGAAAGGGTCGTCGACAGGGGGCGGTCTTAGCAAATGCTGCTAACGGTAGCAAATAGCAGCATTGTTGTTAAATATTCCCCTGAATACATGTCTGGTACGATCAACGTAGAGAAATGATCATTTTCTCGCTACATACCCTCAAAAACAACGTATCGGCCTAATTAGCAGCGTCATTTTTTCAGGCAGCAGCGTAACGGGCTGCTACTCTGTTATAACGCTGGTAAGAACCCTGAAAACAACAACATAACGGGAACTTCCATCACTGGATTGAAACTGGTTCCTTTATCAAAAATATGCCATTAACACAAATCACAAGACTGAGAGAACGACGAGGATCAGACGGCAGAAGATGCTACACACATAAACTAAATCTATTTAACAAACTAACGCCTTCTGCTGGAAGTCTGAAACCTGAACTGCATCACCAAAATAAAAGCCTCAACACTCGAGCCCAAATTATAGAAGAGAATCCGTTGTTACTAAGCAGCGATCCTATCTGAAATATAACATCTAGTAGATAGAAAACGTACATGCAAGTGTATCTACGAGAACAGTGGGATAGTTTGTTCTTTTAAAGACAGTTCATTTGGTGTATTAGGAATTTTCTATGCTGTTCAAAAAAAAAAGAACACAAAAGGAGTATCAGCCTCATCTGATGTCGAACATCTCACAACTACAGACGGCTTTAAAAATAAAGGAGAGTCCCGAGGATAGTCCAAACCTCCCTCCTGAAAACCGGCTTCTCACAGATTTCAAATGATTCTCAGACACAGAGACGAGCAGGAAGCTGCTCAACACCACTTTTAAATACAGCCGCAGGACTTGATTTGAGTTGATCGTCGTGGGTTTTGTTCAGATCAGGTGGAACGACGAAGGCGATGTGGGGAGTCGCACGTCAGCATACGAAGTGGTTTGATCCAACAGCGGCGCCTGGTTTCGTACGAGGAAACGCTACGCAGATGTTCATGAACCAGAGAAGTAATGTTACGTTGGAAACACATCGTTTGTAGCCCAGTTATACGTTTCAGTGTCAAAAATACAACACTTGTAAACAGGCCAGTTTGATTCAAACCAAAATTGTTATTTTCTCAGAACATTTATCCACAACTGAAGAGAAGGTGTTACTAATCTTAACACCATGATGGTTACCTTGAGTTGACCAGGCAGCAGCTCAGGCCTGCTCATAGTAACAGCCTGAACATCTCATTTCAGGGACTTTACTGGATCATTTCTCAGCTTCTCTCTCACTAGATTACACTTAAATACACTTCCTCAGGCATAGAGGTGGAAACATCAGACAAAGATCATCAACCTCAACGTCAGAACATCCTCCCAGTCGTTATTATCGATGCTTCAACAGGACAACACATCTGCTGTCAGGTCTACAGACACTCCATCATCTAACAAAATGTCCACCAGCTTCACCGAGTCCTTCAGGAGGAGTCCGACAACCAAGAACCATCGACGGCCTCTTTAACTCTTTGACTTGATTCAGAAGAACGAATGCTTCTTCAGCTTCGTTAAACAGAACAAGGATCATTTCATTAGTCAGGTGCAATATTTCAATTTAATGTAAAATATTCCAGTTTCAAGGACAATATTTCATTACTATTTGTGATTATAATTCACTACCTCAGTATCATTACAGGAATTACTTCCCACTCTTTTCTTTTTTTCATAGCTAACCAATTTAATTCCAATTAATGTACCACACTCACTAAACTTATCGCTTTGAGGCACTGCCAGTGTTTTGTAATTTTGTTTCTGAGCAATATCTGGCAAAATAATTTCCTT